TTGAACCAAGATATATAAATTTTTATCAGATGTTAGGGGGACTAGTATCTCTACAAAAATATTTGTTATTATATATATTAAATAATATATAATTAATAATAATTAGATTTCCGATTTTTATCCAAAATAAAAACTGTCTGCATAATTGCAAGATACAACAGCTACGTACACATTCATTTTTCTTATCAATATTTTTAACGAGTTGACAGTAATATAACATCATTAAATGTCTTTACCGTTTTTCATTTAAGCTACTCAATTTTCTCGTAAATGCATAAAGCCGCAGTCTAATAATAATCAATAAGCGAGTATCAGTTTCGGTACCGAAACACACACTGTACTAAATCGAAAACACATTTCCAACTATTTCTATTTAAACTTCCGATTTCAAGATCGCTCAAATGCTACAGCCGTCGAACCTCGTTCCATTAACAGCACCATTAACGTTCGATGTCGTTGTAGAAATTAATGGGAAATACCGTCGATCATTCACAATTATCGTATCATTTCCAAGAATAACCTCTTATTCACGCACCAGGTACTGCAAGCCGGTGAGTTGCATAAGATGGGGTGCAATTAGCGATTCTTGTCCCCGTGCGGTGGTGAAGTGCTGCGACGGCGAAGAATTCCCGGCCGATTACATTATCGTCACGGTGTCCCTCGGCGTTCTAAAGAATCAACACGACAAGCTCTTCTGTCCGGCGCTGCCAGCGGAGAAAGTCGAAGCCATATGCAAATTGGGATACGGATTTGTAAACAAAATATTCATGGAATATGCCAGGCCGTTCTGGGTCTGGAAAGAAGGTGGCATCAAACTGGCTTGGTCGGCTGACGAACTTGCTGATAGATGCGACTGGGTGAAAGGTTCGACCACTTTCTTCTCTACCAAAACAACTTCGAAGCTGATAGATCCTGTAAATTTCCACTGTGCGGTCTCGCTTTAGACTTCCTTTCGACTCGTCACGATTTTTCATTAAGATTTCTACCCCGCCAGGTCTCTTGCCACGTGAACTGCAGCTTCATTTGAGTAGTTCGTCAATTCTTTGTAGAAATTTTCGCGTGTCAGATATTTTGTCTAGAAACATTGCTTTTCCTAGTGCACCGAGTTAAAACAGCTTTCGAGCGAGATTAATTAACGGAAAATTGTGCAGTGTCCCAGATCAGCTGTCTCCTGTTAACTCAATGCGGTCCGGGCTGTTTGTGCGAAAACTTTTGCTTGAAATTAGCTTCAAATTGCTTGCAAAACTATAACTTGCAAAATATCAGACAGTTAAATTAAATTATAAGATACGTTGCTTCTATTCAAGATAGATTTTATTTAGATTCAATTACGCGAATAAATTTTATGATTGGTTTTTTTATTTTAAATTGCATTTCACGAGCAGTCATTAGTGGTCAGTAGTCATTAGTAATCCGGATGTTAATGCGTTAATAGAGCAATGAATAGAGAAGCTTGAAGCTGAAAGAAAAGCTGACGAATATCGATGTATTATTTTCAACTTGTTAAAATTATTGCAGAAAGAACAAAATGAATGTATGTTCTGACTATATCCTGCAATCAAAGCAGGCAATTTTTATTTTGGATAAAGAATATAAATATCTGCTGACGTTAAACTTACAGAGCCGTAAAAGTAACTAACATTTATTGTTTTATAACGATGGAAAGACTGTATTTATTTATATCTTTCTTTATTTTTATTACAATGTATGCTAGAATTTAGAACTTCATTCAATCATTTCCTATGAAAGAATCTTTATAATTCCAGCAATTTTGAAACATAAATTGTGCAACCTGTCAATTTAATCACTTTGATTGGTTTATAAAATAAAATAAAATAAAATAAATAATTTCAGTAAATTGAAAGTAATACTTCAATACTCGCAAATCCTTTGAATTGTTTTCCTGTTTGAAATTGCAGCCACTCATTTTTACAATAAATGCATCAAATTCAGTCTACTGATTACTTTGACCTGCAATCTTGACTGACGGTGTAGATTTAGTGTTAACACTATGCCGTCCGCAGATCTTAGATATGATTCTTTTGTTTGACGCCGGCATAATAGCTTGGAAATCTTAGATTTTAAAAACAATTTCGAAGATGGCGGTAATATGAATTCCTAAAATTAAGATATGTCATCCAAGAATTTTCGTACTTAATTCTTAGTTAAATAAGCACAATGCTATAGTTGGTTTGCTGCCTTTTAANCTGTCTCCTGTTAACTCAATGCGGTCCGGGCTGTTTGTGCGAAAACTTTTGCTTGAAATTAGCTTCAAATTGCTTGCAAAACTATAACTTGCAAAATATCAGACAGTTAAATTAAATTATAAGATACGTTGCTTCTATTCAAGATAGATTTTATTTAGATTCAATTACGCGAATAAATTTTATGATTGGTTTTTTTATTTTAAATTGCATTTCACGAGCAGTCATTAGTGGTCAGTAGTCATTAGTAATCCGGATGTTAATGCGTTAATAGAGCAATGAATAGAGAAGCTTGAAGCTGAAAGAAAAGCTGACGAATATCGATGTATTATTTTCAACTTGTTAAAATTATTGCAGAAAGAACAAAATGAATGTATGTTCTGACTATATCCTGCAATCAAAGCAGGCAATTTTTATTTTGGATAAAGAATATAAATATCTGCTGACGTTAAACTTACAGAGCCGTAAAAGTAACTAACATTTATTGTTTTATAACGATGGAAAGACTGTATTTATTTATATCTTTCTTTATTTTTATTACAATGTATGCTAGAATTTAGAACTTCATTCAATCATTTCCTATGAAAGAATCTTTATAATTCCAGCAATTTTGAAACATAAATTGTGCAACCTGTCAATTTAATCACTTTGATTGGTTTATAAAATAAAATAAAATAAAATAAATAATTTCAGTAAATTGAAAGTAATACTTCAATACTCGCAAATCCTTTGAATTGTTTTCCTGTTTGAAATTGCAGCCACTCATTTTTACAATAAATGCATCAAATTCAGTCTACTGATTACTTTGACCTGCAATCTTGACTGACGGTGTAGATTTAGTGTTAACACTATGCCGTCCGCAGATCTTAGATATGATTCTTTTGTTTGACGCCGGCATAATAGCTTGGAAATCTTAGATTTTAAAAACAATTTCGAAGATGGCGGTAATATGAATTCCTAAAATTAAGATATGTCATCCAAGAATTTTCGTACTTAATTCTTAGTTAAATAAGCACAATGCTATAGTTGGTTTGCTGCCTTTTAACACCCAAGAAATATAGTTCAAATGTTATTTCAGTTTTTTAAAATGGCACCAAAGTGGTACCACCGGCATACAACAGATAGTTTTTGTATGGCACCAGCGTGGTGCCACCGGACGGCATAGTGTTAACACTTAGCCAACCGAATGGGGAGATCTCCCCGTTTTAAATTCAGTCGATTGACGACCGAATGGATGATCAATGAAAAATTAAAACTGATTGCTTAATTTTATTAAGATTTGCCTGAAGTACGAATGCTGAAGAAGTAATTGATGCCATATAAGTTTGCTTCGTAATTTTTGTTTAATAGAATGAAATATTTTAATTTTATGAAAATCTTTGAGGTCTCTAGCTGCGGTCGTGGAAGTGTTAAAATGAAAAGATGTCGAATCTGAAAAAAACTGATGAGTCTGCTTAGAATATTAGAATATTGGAATGAAGTTGATCTCTCTCCGATTTGAATTGATTCGATAGGATCGGTGGGATCACTTTCATCTTTATATCTCGAATGGTTCTTTGCCATTTCTAGGTGTTTCTAATATTGAGGAGATAACGACTTCTCAGCACGTTCTGTGCGCATGGATCTGCGGTCGTGAGGCTGCCGATATGGAACTATGCTCCGACGAAGAGGTCGTCGAGTCAGTGACAAGAGTTCTTCGACAATTCACCGGTGATCCTACGTTGCCATATCCAGCTAATCTTCTCAGAAGTAAATGGTGTATGGATCAATACTTTGCCGGTGCATACAGCTACATGGGTCTAGAAAGCACTGTCGGTCATCAATGTGATCTAGCTTGTCCTTTACCAGGTATTATAGTTGCATGATCCAACGCTTTCAAGATTAGAATAAAACGTAGTTGCATATCCTTTCTCGATCTTCTCTCGTATCATCGCAGGAGACACGAATAGAAACTCAAATTGACCTTATATTTACGGTCTATATAACACTGCCGAATTATTTTTGTATTTTTTGGAAAATATTTTCAATAGTTCACAAAATAAATATCTTTTTTACTGATTTTATGAGAGCTGAATAATAATACGTAATTTATTTTCTAAATTTCTGTATGTGGTTGAACCCTCCCACAATGTTTGATTTGTGGTGGTTATGACAAATTTGATCCACAATGATTTTTATGATTTATGATATGAATTATTGAATTTATGATATGTAATGCAACTACAAGTATGATCTGGATAATATAAGTATGATCAATAATATTATAAAGAAGTAGATAATTCTTCTACTATACTTTTTTGTCTTAGTCGATACTGAGACGGTTCAGGAAAAATTCATTCTGTCAACATTTTTGTTTTGAAAATTTTCTGTGTTTTAGTAATAATGTGATTTAGTAAATCGCAGAGTAGTTTTTCACAATTATCCTCCGAAGATTAAGTAATTTAACATTAAATTATGAACATTTATAAATAATTATTCAAATAAAAACCATCCATTTTCCAACTTATTCAAAGAAGAGAAATTGTAAGGGACAATTCGAAATAACGATCTCCAAAATGCATCAGCATTTTTCTGTTCTTCAGGTACATGCGAGCCAATACCGCCGATTCTTTTGTTCGCGGGTGAAGCCACGATTCCGGGACACTATAGCACAGTTCACGGAGCACGTTTAAGTGG